CAGTCACCGAACGACTGTGTACATTTCGTTTCTTTGGACAGACCATTAATTAGTTAATGCTCCTAATTTTGATATAGTTGGATTTTTACTTCAACGTGCATCTTTTCACCAGTCCTGTTCGATATGGGACTCATAGCGTAGTATACAACGCGTGTAAAATACATTGTTTATTTACATGAAATTCGAACACGCGCTGCGCGATGACCACCGCGCTTTAAGCAATGGTGCATGAACAACGGTCGACTGGTTACAGAATGTGTAAAATCATTATACGAAAAATTAAAGACAAACAAGATAAAAACGCTCTCACCTTCTGAACATGTTTATCGGAACTGATTACGAGTTGTTGACGAGATCGTAAAATAATGTGAACGACAATGACTGATTTATGCACTATATACAGTTACGTCAGCGACAAGATTGCCTGATGAATAATAGGTGGTCATATGGTTACTCTAAATGCTGGTACAATGTATTATTAAATAATATTTTGGGGATCATTAACATTTTGCTTCCGATTAAAATAGTTTAACGAAACATATTCACTACAACGACTGGTTTGATAGTGTTCTTTTGTTACCTTAAAATAAAAAAATAATAATTGTTAAATGTTTTATTTCGATGTTGTATATTGATATAAACAAGATTAAAATTCATCGAAAATTTAAAAAGGTTGTTTTAATTTTAGCAAACAAACTTATATTCGCGACGCAACTACGCATGCTCTGTGCATTCATGGTATGTACCAATAATCGCAAGCACATGTGTGTTTTTCATCGGTCATCGATCTAACATTATTTTGTTCGCACCGAAAACATCGTTTACGAGCTGTCAATAAAGTCGACTTATGCACATGCGCAGTACATGTGTTAATATCGGTCTGACCAACCAATTCAAGCAGTATAAATGTAACTAGCAGAAAATTAGCAGAAGATTATCAAAAAAAAATGAGAATAATTTTTACAATTTAATAATAAATTTATTGTTTTAATTTTTACACACATCGCAATCTCATAAATGACGTCACACTTATGGAGTGGATGGGAAATCAGTCAATACACGAGATGTACCGGAAGTTGTAGTTCACTACGAATATCTCATATCGGAGTACCACAAATCTTTAATAGAGAACACGGTTTGTTTGATTTCCTTGCCTCTATGGCGTAGTTTTGTTTTTTCACCTCCACTCCATAAACAGAAACGGGCAAAATATTCACAACATTCTGCGAATCTGTACATAAATAAAATAGGAAATTAATTTCATTTCTGCATGATAATACATCTATCTGATTATTACGTAACAACCCCTACATGCAGTGTTATTTAATTGTTCCAGTCACAAAATACTTGAAACATGCATAATATGACCAGTAGATTCATATCTCCCGCTTTAAAGAGTTGTTCAACAGCTCGTGCAAACCATAGATACTCAGATGCACGTGGTTTAATACATATCACCGAGCCATGTAACGATTGAAATGTATACATTTGGACCGGGGGCTTATTGTATTTATTATTTTTGTATTATATAGCCATTTATATATTTTTATGTTTTTTTTTTTTAATTTGAATTGTAAGCGAGTATGGGATGATACCTACAGTGATCGTTGTATTGATGACGTCACTGAAATGCTACTTGGTCTAACATATGGCAAACCAGCCGCCTACGAAAAGAGGAAGAATGAAGATCCGTTCGTATATAGATATACCACAGGAGTTGATGTTGATTTTGAAAAAAGCCGAATTGAACTTAAGGGTTAAATTTATTAAACGCCGCGAATATCTGAAACGAACAAAACAAGTGGCCAAGTTTGAGGTACATGGCATCACAGTCAGCAGTCTCCGGATAAACAGTAAGGTCACTATAAAGTTTCATAACAAGAAAAGCCCTTTTAACTTGATGAATCTAACAGTGCGGTGGTCGTCGCGCAGCGCTTGTTCGAATTTCATGTAAATAAACAATGTATTTTACACGCGTTGTATACGTCGCTATGAGTCCCATATCGAACAGGATGCGACGCGACGACTGCCGCCCTGTATTTAAATCTACCGTGTGTATCAACATACAACATAGGAAAAAAATACATGTATTTAACAATTTGAACTATACAATTTTTAGTAGATAATTCAAGTTCAACATCACTACCAAACTAGCCGTTGAGAATACTGCTAGAAATTTTCGCGATATCAAAATTTATTGGCATTCGCGAAGAAAAAAATGTGCGAAAGCCGCTGAGACTCCGTGTCGTAGAACGGAACTCCGGAGAAATTCTGACTGCTACAAAGTTTTCACAATTTTTACTGAATCGCGAACATTTGTCCCGTTTTGTGCAATATGTTGCGTTGGACAATTAGAGGATCGGAAGCAATATAGACTAATCCCAAAATATGATTAAATAATACCAGCGTCTGTATTGACCATATGCCAACCTGTTATTTATTCGACAATGTGGTGGTTTGAATAACTATATATAGAGCTTACATCGCACACCGCGGTACACATTCTTGTACAGCTTCGATTCTTTCAACAATTTGTAGTCAGTTCGGATAAACGTGTTCCATTCAGAAGGTGCGACCGTTTTTTTAATCTCATTTGTCTTTTCCGTATTTAAGTTTTACAGTTTTTTTTTTTTTTCCATTACTCAACGAGTCATCTTGAAGGGTCACATCCTGACACATTCTGTAACCAATCATTGATTTGTCATCTGATGCGCTCGTTGTTCAGATTGTCATCTTTGGGGATGTTTTTTTTTTTTCTTTTTTTTTTGATGACCAGTCTCAATATACTGGAATACTATATATCAGTTTGTGCTAATTACAGTGAGGTTATCGACAGAAGTATAATAACAAAACCATGCTTAGAAGACGGAAGAAGGGATTCCCTGGCCGATGTCAAGAAGTAAACAGCGTGTGGACGACTGGCTATTAATACTTTGATAGGGTCACTGTAGTTACGGCGTTTAAAAGAATAGAAACAACCTTGTCTGTCGGTTTGCTCAATGTCCTGCGTACATGGTACTCCCAACGGTTCTCACACAATTCATTACCAAAGGAGTTCTTCCCCCAAATCTACAACAAACGATCTCTGAACAATAAGCACACGAACAACGAACTATTTCAAGTTATCTCTTATTCCACGGCTATAAACTAAGCGATTGTATGTTATTTGCCAAATTAATTAATTATTAGGTGTTGTGTATTTAGTATTTTTGTATATTCAGGTGTACCCGAGTTATTTCTTCAGTCATCGAGAGATGTCCAATAGATCGTCTTTTATTATACAAATATTTGAAACAGTTTATCCTTTTTGTTACTTTCTAGATTAGTGCTGACTAAAGATGGACTCTAAGAAAATAGCCTTGCTCTGTTTAGTGGTTTGTATCCTCGCCTTCACCGACACAGAGGGCGCACCTCGCATGGTATGTTGAAATTATATTCTTGACATGGGTGCGACCAAGTTTATATACGATAGGTAGTACTGCACAAAGCAATGTGTTTGTATTTGGGTGGAGTTCCTTTTCGCGTACAACATGGAACTTAACATATGCTGTTGTTTCCCTCATTTGTACAAGATCTAAAATGTCCACCGATTTATAGTGTACAAATCGCGAGAAGACCCCCCAGTGCTCCCGTTATAGATAATCACAATAAATTACAAGGACGCGATTCGAATAATAACAGCGTAAATATTCATATTCCATTTGCTAGTACACATAAAAGCTTTTGTCATAAATTATAACTCAGATTGATTTAAAATCTGTCTCCAAATTCGAGGTATTCATATAACTTTTATTAAGGTGAAGAGTAAATTGGGACATTCTTTATAATTAGCTGTGTTGTGGGAGCACTGTATGTATATAGAATAGAACTATACGTTTCAAGTCATTGACTCGACATGGGAATAAGTTATGGAAAATATATAAAAACCTATGACCAATCGCGGCCATCTCATAATGATCGAAAATAAACAATATTACATATCATCTAACACACCCCTTTAGCCCTTCGAGTGTTTCGGGTTTTATCAATGTAAATGCGAATACGTTCCATTTGTCTTTTTGACATATAACAGTGTTAAAATTAATTTCGTTGCATTGACGCGTTTAGCCAAGCAGTAGAAGGCGTGATGAATAATGTCTACCAAATATGAACCATGAATATTCGATATTACTTATCACATAACACCCTTTACTCTTTTGACCATTTTGATGTTCGCATCGCGTAGATACGCGCGACGATATTTAATCTATCATGGACTGACCATTAAAACTACGGGAGGATGAGGCAGAGACAATTTCATTAAACAAATATTAAACAATAAACACTAGTTCGAGAAATAATAACAAGTATATTTACAAAACAATACCCTAAAACTAAAAAAATTGTATGATTGGTCAAAAGAAGTGGGTATGAACCAGTCGGATCCTCTAAAGCCGCGCCCGAATCACTATGTTTTATAAAATAATTTGAAAATACACATGTTTTGCGTTCGAAAAATTTAAATGAACTGATCATCTGGAGTATATTTTCTGGATACCTAATTTGTAATAGTACGAGTTTAAGTTATGATTATAATTGCTGTATCTGATAGTGTTTTTCTAATCCTACCATAGAGTCACATTCCAGGGAAGGTGCATTCACAATTTGCTGCACCCGGGGCTGGTCTACACAGCGTCCATCGTCGAGACTCTGGTAAGCTTAATCAAATTATATCTTTAAGGTAGATCTCTACACACAAATAAAAATACCTCGGGAGAAAATATACAGAATTTATAATTTATTTATAATATTCGATATGGATTCTATGTGATGCGTCATGTCTATGGGAAGCGAGTAAAATAAAATGTTTGTTCACATCACAGTGTTCACATACAACTAGTATCGTAGTGCATTGTTTGTTTGTTTTGTATTCCGCTACCCTTATTTTGTTTGTGGACTGCATGGGTTTGTCTGCTTGGGTGTTACTAGCCTGACAAGTTGGCGTAGGTGGCGCCCTGGACTGCTGCGAACCTTGTCAGGGTGTTACACTCAACAACGAAGCACCTACGTGATGTAAATGGGTCGCATGGGAAACGGGTGCGAAAACGATCGCTCACAACATCGACATTGATATAACATTTTGTCATAAAAAGAGGGTTTTCGTTTTCAGAAATTTACTGTTTGTGTTGTTACTTTTCTTTGCCGTTTTCGTTTTTGTTTTGTGTGACCATTTTTGTCGTTTTTGTCGATATTACAAATATAAATCGCGAGCAACTACACAATCAGAGTTTTCTGTTTCAACTCAGAGATGATTCCGCTTCGAAAACGATAAGCTAATAATATCTTACATGTAATGTTATTACAGAAATGGGCTCTTCAGAAGAAGGCACTGAATCTCCGGACGAATAATCGGTCTTGACAAATTTGATTGGGCGATGAACATCAATATATCTAAATATATAATTCATTATAAATACAATAGAACTAGTTATACAACCATAGTTAAGAACTAATACTTGCTTACAATAATATTGCGTAAAAACTTGCAATCGATAAAATAATTTCTTCATAGTTATGAAAACATGCATAGTCGAGCATCACACTAGAAGAGGACTATACTGAAATGAATAATTTCCATAGCAACCCACAAATCACTAGGAATATCATTTATTAAGTCATTTTATGTAAGATTCTCATGACTTGTATGTAGTTGAAAGGGAAATTTGAAAAACAGAAATGTTTAGAGAATATGGCTCATAATTCGAATGTTGTTAAACAAAATATTCCAGCGTAAAATTTACAACATAATATGACTCAATATGGTTAGGAGTTTGTCTGTTTTATTAGTGTATGTATACAAATATTGTTAGTAGTAATATATTCAAGTAGTTTTTCATTCCTTAAATAGATGATTTATGCTAGAAATTCTCATTTCTTTCATTTAAAGTGCGTATATAAATGTTAAGCAGTTCTAATTTAAGTACAGTATACTATTTAGTAAATGCATTTCTAGTAGAGTAAGTATGGTACGACATTGATCAGTCACGCATGAATTAGCACATGTTCATTTTAGAAATGTACACACATGCTCTCGTAGTATAAACAGAGTACGTACTTTCGTGAAATGACAATGGCTAATTCATGCGTGACTGATGTCATGTATAAAATTGAGTCAAGCCACGTTCGCATGAGGAGACTAACGTGTAATGTTAAAACGCTCAACATCGAATTGAAGAATATGTAAAATAGCATATATTTATAAATGGATATTGCCATGGTAATTAACAATACAATTTTGATGTCTATTACAAGACCCTACTACAGCATAATGGTTGAAAGTTCCGAAATATAGAATCGTAGAATGAATATTGAATAAATAAGTATTCTATAGCTATGTAAATTATGTATAGATACCACTGTAATGTAGTGTACAGGGTTTTGTTCTCTTGTATCTAGTTTAGTTCATATGTATATATTAAACACAAAGCATGACATAGTCCCTGTATGTTTTCAATGTAAGATAACTACAGCGTGTGCATATACCGCCTGATACCGGGTATACTGTATTTACACATTAGCAAGAAC